CGGCAGGGAGACTTGAACGAGGTCTCCCGCGTGTGATCTGGACACGATAGCTCCACCTATTTCATTTAGATTGCGTGAGTACTATTTTTGTTGTTCAAATTGTGCTTTCTCCTGAAAAAAAAAGCTTAATTAATTATTGATTGCTTTACACTTCTGAAAAATCTAATTCGATAAATTTATAATGCAATGACATCAGTCAAATCATTCGTCCCCACCCTTACTTCGGCAATCTACTTTGGTTTTAGCGCCCTCCCCCGCCAATGCTACCGCTCACCGTTTTGGTTTTTGATTAATAATTAACTAATGACATCGCTACAAACGATGAAACCGATTGATATCGCCACTACAATCGAAATACAATCGATTTGACCGGTCGTCATTAGAAAATATTCCATTTTTAAATAAGTTCAGGCTAACTACACGCCCAAACTTAATTAATTAATTCAAATAATTGGAAAATGTTACAAACAATTATACATCCATTACAATCAAGTACTAACCCAATACAATCGAATGCAATGATGTTTATCCCTATCACTGACCTTTTCAGGTCAAGTGCATGGAGGTTCGCATTCCTTCGAGTTATGTACACTGTCTTTTGGATTTATATCTACGTAGATAAATAAAAAAGATAGTGTGAATATCTTTTGTGTAGGTTGGGGTATATATGGGCGAGCGTGCGTGGTGAATGTGTATGTGGTATGGTGTGTAAGTGAGAGGTAATCTTCAACGTTGAATTCAGGATCGTCAATTTCAAATGTATGATGATGATCTTCATCAGATGGTGCATCATCAATGAAATCCTTAGTCACTTTGCGAAGATGTTTTGGTGGAGGAATAATGTCACCCAAATCCTCTGAGTCTACTGTAGGGACTTCTAAATCTCTCAATTCCATCCCTGTCTGCAGAGCTCCATCCACATAGCCCGGATAAACTTTCTTGATATCCATAAGCATCTGCATTATTTGTGATCTGCAATCATCTCCATGATGCTTTTCAAGAAAATATTGGCGATAATCGTAACGAGTGATATATTGATGGAGAAATTTTGGACTTTAACGACCCTTAATGGCATTTTTCAACCAGTGATTTCGATACTTGAGAATGTTGATTCTATTATTGGGATTACGTTGCTTGATGTATTCTCGAATACTGTGATTGGTGGTTAAATGCGTCGTATTCTCACTGAAAATTTATTGTAACCCATGATACTGCTTCCCCTCATCAGTACAGATGTGAGAAGTATCGGGATGAACAACCTTCGTGATGTAAGGCTATAAATCTGCTTTGCGGTTTTTCGAGTGAATGGCAAATTTTGCCCTCCTTACATAATATGCCCAATACGGTTATTGTTATTTACCCTGTTAAGGGACTTCGATTGTATTTACGTTTCGTTGAAAACGCTCTGTTAATCTGAGTCATCTTACCGTCACCGCCGAGACAGAACTCTGAATTGGAGCATATTACTTCAGCACCTTCGCTGAGGTAATTGTAGTAATCAACTAGAGTAGCACAATTTAATGCCAGACTCTTCGTTTTCCTTCCACCAGTTACTGAGATGAGAATGAACGGTCATCACATTAACTTTATGAGAAAACAGCAGATTGCTGCCAACATTTCCTTGAGGGTTAAATGGCACGTATATCCATCAAAAAACGTAGACGAAGAGAAAAACACAGGAAAAGATACGTGACTAATCACGTAACCGTGGGCTGGAGTGACATTTCCTTGTTTTTAACTGGAGAATTTGGGAAAAAATGAGAGACGAACAGTAAATTTTATTATTTGCTCTGGAAAATTTACGTGACTGTCATGTAATTTCTTACGAACTTGTAAAATTTACCACAGTTTGACATTGAAATTTTGACATTGAAATTTTTTCAACACGCCAACAACCAACTTCCGAATACAACCCCCCAAACCAAAAATCACCAAAAACAACAAATAAACCCCTTAACCCTATCGCCACACAACATAAACCACTGCTCATCTCCCCCCACGGCCGACACTACCTAAACGCAACCTCACCTCTGACCTCTTCAGGTATCCAGGGCCCAGAATCCCAAACACCTCCTAACCCCCCCTTCTCTTCACACCACATAACGAACGTTAACACCATAATGGACCTAATCAAATCATTCCTAGAACTATTTCTTACAAAGCTATCACCACTATTCCAAACCTTTGGCCTAAGCTCCCAACTCAACTAAATATCCAACCACTTCAACGCACTACAATCAACACCTTGCCCCCCATCCACAACTAACAATCTACCTCTATATTACTCCCAACGGCCCCAACAATGGATTCAACAATAAATCCAAATACAAAACTCTCAAACCCTTCCCTACGCCTACTACAATGGAATGCTAGAAGTCTCAGACCAAATCTACCAGACCTCATCAACATAGCCCATGACTATGACATCATCCTCCTCTCCGAAACTTGGCTAAAACCTGACCAACCCCCTCTACACATCAGAGGGTTTCACCTTGAATGAGACGACAGACTAGATCAAGGCAAAGGCGGAATAGCCATCGCGATCAGAACCAACATCCCATTCTCAAAAACTCACAACCTTTCAAACATTTCGCCTACCCTCCACCTCCTAGGAATCAACATACCATCAAATAACGGAGACATAGTCATAATCTCAGTCTACAAAAAACCCAACATAAGAATACCACCCCAAGAATGGTCCCACCTCTTGAACTCCTGCCCAAATGCATATGCCACAATTATAGGAGGCGACTTCAACGTCCACTCCGAAACCTGGGGAAGCAAACACTCCTGCTCTTCTGGCGATAACCTATTAGAAGCTCTAGTCACCTCCTACCTATTTCCCCTAAACGACGGAACCCCCATTAGAATCAGCCCCCCAGGTGAGGGCCCCTCTTACGTAGACTTCACACTAGTCTCCTCAAACTTAGCCCTCTAATCAAATTGGAGAGTCCTTACAGATCACATGGGCAGCGGCCACTTCCCCATAGCCACACTCCTAAATTGCCCACCTGAAAACTTGAAAAACTCCAATAAAATTCCCAAAAACAAAATAGACTGGCAAAAATTTGACAAATACTTGAAAACGAACATCCACCTCTTAGAAAACTACTTCAACGACACCCCACCCCAACAAAAATACGAAACCTTCGCAGAAGTTGGAATGAAAGCCATAGACTCCTCCCTCCCTCGAAGAAAACCCCCCAAAATCCAACCCGATCACCACCCCATAAAAACCCCCTCAATTCTAGGAAATCTGCACCCCCAGCTCCTTGGTGGAACAGAACACCACCATAAAACACAAAATCTCCTCAATAGCATCCATCTTCAAAGCCGAAGCACTCGCCATCCTCAGCTCCCTACAAAAAATCCAACAATACAACATCGCCAAAGCTATAATCCTAACAGACTCCCTCAGTGTCCTTCAAACCCTCAAACACCTATTTCCAAAGACAACCTCCCACATCATCCACCAAATTCTAGTATTCTACGCCAACCCCTTACTAAACGGTACTGAAATCTCCTTCATTTGGATACCCTCCCACATAGGAATTACTGGCAACGAAATTGTGGATAATCATGCTCACTCCATATCTGATGGATCCTTAAACACTTCCCCCCTCCTCCAATCTGATTTTAAATCTCTAATCACCAAGAACATGAAATTTTAGTTTTTAGTGGAAAGAGTATTGATTTTTTGAGTGAACCAAAAAGTACCTAATCAAGTTATTACTTACGTCTCATTGAGGATGAGGTGACATGCTAGACATTTTGACAGTATTAATTAACTTAAAAATCGCAGAAAAAAACTCTAATTTTCTTCGCTGCCTGATGAATACTGTTGAAAAAAAAACAGAGAATGAAGAAAATATATGGCGGCAATATTTCGTTCCAATTTATATAATTTGTGAAAAATCTGCTGGATGGTGTCAAGGCTAGAAATATTGAGGTTTCTATTAGTGATATGACGACAGTATTTGATAACTATAATATAATATTATTTATCTATCGGTATTAAATAATACATAAGATATACTTCATGTTTATGGAAAAAAGGAAAAAAAAAGTGTCCATTTTGCCCCGTTTTCCCGTTATATCACGAAATATAGAGGCGGGACAATTTTTTCATTAGTGTTCCTGAACTCACGAGACAAAATACTTCGGGAAGCGACGGAAGAAATCGGACTTGTGCTCCCTGCTATGGTAAGGCGTCCATCATACAGCTGGTCTACAAGATAGGGCATCTAATGGTCTAATGGGTAATGTAAACAGTGTAAACAATGTAAACAGAGAACAGCTAAGAGGAGTAACGAGCGTTCTACTTCTCAGACGTTACTCTTGATTTTCTAGCACCAACCAAATGTTTGGTGAATATGTAGTGGATTCACCTCGGCATTCTGACCCCAATCCAGATCGAAATTTTCTACGAATCTCACACGATCGTGTTTATACATCTTTAATCTACCTTCGCGCACGCTCCGAAGTGTACAAATTTAAATGGAACAGTGAAATACCTTAACCTCCCCACCCCTGGCGTCACTCAGGGCCAACGACTTGGACTTGGAGGTGTATACGGCCCGATGACAACACATACTGATAAAGGTAGAGACAATGGATAACATAAAGATGGATGAGTATTCGCCCGGGAAAGACGTGCTTCTATCCGACACCGCGTTTCCACTCCAAAAATCCATATTTCCTCCGTCGTCCTTTTCCGGCAATAGATAAATAAATAAATGGATATCAAAATTTTATGTGGAAGTTAGAAACTGACAGACGGCACCAGTCATTCTCAAGTCCCTACCCGTGTAGACACTCTATTGGTGAAAAGGGTGATGTTACTTAATCGTCGAAAATAATTAATTCCCGTAATTATAAAGGGCCACTGTTCGGTTTGCATAAGAACTCACTTAGATAACCTTGGTCTTCTCGGGTGCTGAAGATACTATACCACACTGCAGGAGTCCGCACGATATTCCGGTAATCCGCGAGATACATATTTTCCACTTCACACTAACCATCTCTCACGAGGTAATCTAACCCTCTGTTGAACCCAATTTCTCGTACCTTGGTACAACGATAGGCAACGCGCTACCCATCAATGGTTTTTGTTTGGGCAGTTACAGCCTCGGTCCTGGGTGATGGAATGTAACTCCTGGCGTGAATCTACTAGAAAATAACCAAATGTTCTTTACCCAACTCCAATCGTATATTGAGTTAATATCTGGTGCTGTTCACAAGAATAGCACCAGATATTGGCTGATCTGCCTAGCCAGATCAGCCAGATTGATCTGGCTAGGCAGTATTGGTTGCCCGAAAATCCTCATTGGACGCAAAGTATTGATTACCAGCATCAGTGGGATGTGAACTGTGTTCCTGTTCCTTGCTTTGCTTAAAAATTATTCAGCCGTATTGTTTCAAATGGGACAACTTGGATAACAGAAAATTTTACATTATATTACAGGATTATGTAGAAGCTTATTCTTATATCTGGACACCAGATAGAAATAATCAAACAAAAACATTCGTTGAGAGCGAGCCAACGATAGAGCAAATAAAGGATGCATTTCTGAAATATGATGCTCTGCGAGAAGAAATTAGAAACTTACCTCCATATCACATCGTTGGCTGTATTCAGATTGATATGGGTGAGTTCCAATCAATAATCTTAACACTGCGGCATAAATTTGTTATTCGTTTCAGAGAACATGAAAGGTGCTTTACGAGTAGAGATTGGATCATGGAAAAATGCTTTCAATTCTATGTTGAAAGAAGCTTATAAGCAAAAAATAAATCAATTCATGAATTTTATGAAAGATAAAAGTGAAATACTTGAAAGGAAAATCAATGATCTCGAGGACGTTAGAATTGCAATGAAGTGCCTCAATGAAATTAGAGAGAACTTCATATATTTAGATATAACACTTGTCAATATCGAGGATACATACGCAATAATGGCAAATTTCAATGTTCCAATCGCCAAAGAGGATCAAGATGTGGTTGATGGTCTTCGTTATTCCTTCAATAATATGCAGCAAATGGTATGGCCACAAAATTTTTCCTCTCTACCTCGTCGATTTTAAATACCGTTGCCAATTGATGTAACAATTTTTTAGGGCCATGAACACCTCCCTTAATTCATGCGTTTATAAATGAATCTCCCTGTGTTCATTTTATCAGAAGAATTTTCTGATTGTGGTTCTGATTCTCATATTCTGTATGTAGTAACTAGATAGGATGGGTGTAATGACAACTCAAGTGCTTGACTGGGGGTAGTGTGTAGTGTAATTCATTGTCAACGTGTCAATACGTCCTGTGAATAAATCGCGCATTGGGAATATAATCTTGCAAACTAGCCGGGTGCGTTTGTTAAGCAAGTATGCTTTTGACTAATTTATTTTGTTTTTTGACAATGTACGAACTACAGAACAAACAGAAAAATATTCCTATAGTGAATGATACAAGTGAATGAGTGATGGAAATCTAAATTATCACTTTTAAATTTCCCAAGGCATCAGGGATGGAATTGTATTCTATGCGATGATTTGAACAAACAGTGATTGATCGCGGATCAAATGTTTTTTTCTTCTAATAATTAATGACTGATGTGACCTTAGCTGGAAATATTAAAATAAATCCGACTAAGGCACAAATATTAGGGGGATTTCGTACCAGTAATTTTATTCAGGAAGAATTTACCATAATTTAAGAGAGGGCCTGAAATAATAAGAAAAAAAAGAGGGGAGGTTTAAAATAATTGACTCGGGGTTTGGGGGCATCTCTCTTCTTGAGGGGCACATGGAATTCTCTCAGTATCACGTGGCGTCTTTTTCACTGTGATTGGCGAGTGCTGCGGCGAGGGGAAAGGTTGGCGGGACAGGCATCAGCGGAGGATCGGTTCCCCAACAGTGATAAGAAATTAATCTAAACTTTAGCAAACAGGGCGAAGCGGGCTCAATAGCTGCTACGTCATACTGGTGATAAAAGTGGAAGAAAGCAATGAACGAAGCTATTCGGTGTATGCAATCATCTTATATTCATCGTCATAATGTGGTCTTGAGAGTGTTGTATCATTATTTGTGGCACTTATATGAAGTAGATAGAACACCGGAGCTGCTTTATTCTCTAGGCCTATCATTGCAGAATTGACAACTATCGTGGATCCCGCTGGTTTCCATTCGGTATTTGAACTAATTAATGCCTTTGAAAAGGCTGCACTGGGCTCCAAAATGCCCTTCAGCAGCAGTTATAGCCATCATGGTGGGGTGAGTTGACGTTGGATCATGCTTTAATTATTTAAAAACCAAAATTGATAATGAATTTTCCTAAAAAGAAACGTGATAAATAACACCTGTTGTGCCACCATCAAACATTCAGGTGTGCAGGGCTCAACAAGCCCAAGGAGTTGACGCTCAAGGGGGTCAGTCGGTGGAGGTGCAGAGGGGCAAACGAAATGCCCCCGAGCACGACACGCCCAGCCCCAGCATGTCGCAGCCAGACAAGAGACAAAGGAGCAATCCGGCGTCGTACGGCTAGGCTGCGACGAAAATGATCCAGCTAGCTCTTGTTCTAGAGGACTACCCGGAAAAAAAATCTTGCCGGAGGAGTGAAGGGCCTGAAACGACTTGCGAAGTCCCAGATCCTCCTACTACCAAAGGGAACCAAAGCCCCGACCTTTGAGGGTATGTGGGAGAGAGACGCAGCAGTCATTTTTGGATGCTCAGATGAAGCGACGGGGACGTGGCTCAAAAGCCTATTCGCCGGAAACAAAATAGGAGAACGTCGTTCCTAATGCTCGACGCTGCGGAGCTGCCAAAGAGCCGCAGAATCGTAGCGCATATGGAGGACTAAGAGATGTCCGCCCGGGAGGCGATTGACCTCATGTGCAGGCAGAATGTGGGACTCGAAACCGAGGACTGGCTCGTTATCAAGGGCAGTGAAGGCAAGGGAGCCACGAGCGCCCATTTTGCTGCCTCTGTCGGCGAGAAAACATTGCAGTGCCTGCAATTTCAAACCTCATTACGGGAGTCAAAGAGCATCTATTAAGACGCTCGAAGAGAATCGCTCTGCGGGACAAGTAGTGACCGTGGAAGATGAAACTCCCATGCCAGGGCGAATGGATGCATGAGTCAAGATAGAATGATCAGGCAGTACCAAATTAGGAAGGCCTGTAAAACCTACATCCCTGAGGGTGAGAACTGGGAAACTGTA